TGTCTTTTATTAGATAGGATTGTTGTAACACACAGCTGATAATCAACAGATACGTTCTGGGATGGTCTTTCCCTTTTTGTTTCCAGCTGACATCTCTTGCAGTTGGTTGGTGCATGTGCTGGACTGATTATTGCTTATTTTAAATACCACTCTTTGTAGATACTACTCATGAAGAGAAATGTCTGGGTTACATAGACATACTTAAAGTTTGAGTTCTTCCAGTCTTGTCCTAATAATGGATGAATGGATTTTTTAAAAATATACTTTTTATTGATTTCAGAGAGGAAGGGAGCAGGAGAAATGGAAACATCAGTGATGAGAGAGAAGCGTTGATCAGCTGCCTCTTGCATGTCTCCTACTGGAGATTGAACCCGTAACCTGGGCATGTACCTTAACTAGGAATTGAACCAGTGACCTCCTGGTTCATAGGTCGACACTCAACCACCAAGCCACACCAGCGGGCTGGATGGACTTTTTAATCTCGCCGTTTTTCTATATTTCAAGTTTATTCACATTTGTACTGTATAGTTATTCATCCTTTCTCCATCAAACTGTCTGGTTTGGGGCTGTAAGCAGGTACTACTAGTTCATTAACAACTACTCTTAGTGCAATTCTAGTTTATAAGGCTTTTTTTTTCAGATTTGTTAAGATAATTGGATCCTAACAACTACCTTTTGAGTTAGAGAGGGTAACAATTATAATCCTTATGTTACAGAAAAGAAAGCTGTGGATCAGAGGTGCAATGACTTTTTTTAGTCCACTTATCTGTTAAGTTATGGGGTTAATTTGTGACCCGGTCTGATTTTAATTCGCTTTTGCAAAATCTAAAAGGAATAGGAAAAGGAGTAAATTTCTGTTTATGGTTAAAGCAGGAACTGTCTAGTTTAGCTTTATGTCTTTCTCAGAACATAACACAGTGCCTGACACATGGTCAATCAGCAATTTTTTATTTACTTATTGATTTATTATTATGTATTTCTTAGAGAGAGGGAGAGAAAAAAACAGTGATTTGTTGTTCCACTTATGCATTCATTGGTTGATTCTTGTTTGTGCTCGCCTTGACTGGAGATCGAACCCACAACCTTGGCATATTGGGATGATGCTCTAGTCTAACCAGTTGAGCTACCCAGCCAGGGCCAATCACCAGTAATTTTTAATGGACACATGAACTGGGGATTATGTAGATTTTTAATGGACCAGGTTTGAATTGGTAATGTTGCTGCTACTCAGTACTTTGGTGACTTCCGTTTATTACAGTAGTGCTTTGAATTATAACTTGTGACCCTGGTCTTCTGACCTGGTCACAAGTTCAGTTCTATAAATGTTCTGGCTGAAGAAAGGGATTTCACATCATCAGTCCAGGAGTTTTCATAGTAAGTGGTGTGGTTCATTTACAGCTGAAGCAGCAATAGGTTATAAACATGCCTGTATGATGGGATTTCTGGAGGGACTAGACTGCACTGGTTTATTTTTAGGAAATTTCAGTAAGATTTCTTCCATTCTTCTTTTTTAGACACTGTTCTGTAGGTTTAAATAACCAGTAGCAAAGTTCCTCCTCTTTCTTTCCTTGTTTTTAATTCTCATCCGAGGATATTTTTCCATTGCTTTTAGATGGACTGGAAAGGAGATGGGGCGGAGAGAGAGAAACATCAATGTGAGAGAGACACATTGATTGGTTGCCTCCCACATGTACCCTTTCCCAGCCAGGGATTGAGCCTGCAACCAAGCTATGTGCCCTTGACTGGGAATTGAACCCTCAACTCTTTAGTGTGTGGGCTAACGCTCTAACCAGTGAGAAAACCAGCCAGGGCCCCTCCTCTTTCTTACTACTATATTGCATTCATCTGCTTAAAATCTGCTTTCTACCCAAGATTTCTAGTGGCAGCTGTTGTAGTGTTTGATTAGGATGTTGGATTTCATTGAGAGATTTTCTCCAAATAGTTTGTTCCAGTATTGAGAGAGGTCAATTGGCCTGAGCCACCTTGCTCAACCTGTCACAGTTGTTTTTTTAAAAAATATTTATATTAATTTCAGAGAGGAAGGGAGAGAAATAGAAACATCAATGATAAGAATCATTGATTGGCTGCTTCCTGCACGTGCCCTTACTGGGGATTGAGACCGCAATCTGGGCATGTGCCCTTCACCAGAATCTAACCTGCCAGTCCGCAGGCCACGGCTCTATCAGGCCGAGGCCTGAGCGCCGGCTAGGGTAAACCTGTCACAGTTTTGAAGTCATTTCAAAGCCTTCCATAAGGCAGGCTCCACCTACCTTTCCATCTTATCTCAAAGAACTCCACCAGCCCCTCTCCAATACCTGCTACCCACGATAACACAAATTAAGAGTGTTCTAAGAGAAATCACTTTGTAAATTTAAATTTTTTATACCCTACCCTTCAAGGAAGTTGAAATAGTCATTTTCCAGAAGTTCTTCTATCATGTATCTTAAGTCCTTCTTTTCATTCTCTAGCTGCAGATACTCTGTGCACAACTTACGCTAGTTAAGTGAAATATTTCCTGCTGCTTCTCTCTTCAGCCATGCATTTTCTTAAATCACAGATTAATTTTCTAGTGCTTATATTAATATTATGAGCTTTACATGTAAGTTCTCATCCCACCAGTGAGGAGAACGTTCAGAAAACCCACATATGTCTCTTTAAGTATCTGCTTTCTATTGAAACCAGTAAGTAGGCTAGTAATTGCCAATTGTACTACCAGATTTTTGATTTTTTAATTGTTTCTAAACTATCTCCTTTCTCTTGCACTGTGTTTTCACTTCTACAGTACTGACATTAAAGAAAACCCTAGAGAAGTTCCTTTTCTTCTTATTGCATAGATAAAATCCCTTTATAACAATGGTTTTAATAAACTGAAATCCTTCCCACAATTTAATGGTTGGTACATGGAAATAGTACTTTGGTAGTCAGGTTTATTTTGTTTTATTTGTGTTAAAAACATTTAAATGATATCTACTCTCTTAACAGATTTTTAAAAAATAAATTACGAGTCCTGGCCGGGTTGGCTCCATGGATAGAGCGTCAGCCTGCGGACTGAAGGGTCTTGGGTTCTATTCCAGCCAAGGGCACATGCCCAAGTTGCAGGCTCGATCCCCAGTAGGGGGCGTGCAGGAGGCAGCCAATCGATGACTCCCTCTCATCATTGATGTTTCTATCTCTCTCTCCCTCTCCCTGCCTCTCTGAAATCAATAAAAATATATTTTTAAAAAATTATGATTGAGTTATGTAATCAACACTACAGTTTTTATTTATTTATTTATCCTCACCCAAGAATATTTTTCCATTGATTTTTTTTTTTAGAGAAAGTGGAAGAGAGAGGGAAAGACAGAGAGAAATATCGATGTGAGAGAAACACATAGATTGGTTGACTCCTGCACGCACCCTGACCAGGGCCCAGGCCAGGGAGAAGTCTGCAACTGAGGTATGTACCCTTGACTAGAATTGAACCTGGAACCCTTTGGTCTTCAGGCCAACACTTTATCCACTGAGCCAAACCGGCTAGGGCTCTTAACAGATTTTTAAGTGTACAATACACTATTGTTATATGCACAATGTTTTACATCAGATTTCTAGAACTGAATCTTGTGTAACTGAAATTTTATGTCCATTTAAAATAGTCACTCCTAGAAGCGAAGAATAGAAAGAATGGTGGTTACCTGGGGCGGGGGAGAAGCAGAAATAGGGAATTGCTAATCATTCAGTCAGTTTTCTACTGCAACTAAAACTTAGCAATCACTGTATCCAAGTACATGGTTGTTTGCACTTGAGGTAGAAAAGGAAAGAAGAGTGAATTTGGCGATTTAGTTTTATCATGAAGCATCAGTTACCTTTCTATTTCCCAGGTTTCCTTCCGACACTTAGACTGCTGCCCCCTCAACTCAAAATAGAAAAAATAAGACTACCAAGACCATTTCTTCCAAAATACCACCATACACAAATTCTCCCAAAGGTTGGGAGAAGTATGGAAAGTAAAGTTTGGTTAGTAATCTCTCTTCTACTAAATTAAGAATGGTTTATTTGCTAATTAGTTAAAAGCATAGCTTCTTCTCATGGACACAGCTAACCTTGTTACATTAATAAAAGGAAAGTCAAGAATTGGGTCCACAGAGTGCCATCAACAGAATCAGAATCAAATGTGAACAGAAGCACATCTTATAAGAAGCACCATTATTCTTTCGCTGAGTTAACGTATGTTTTTCTTTTTATATTCAACAAACCATGTTGACCACTATGTTTGTATTTTTACTTCTACCTGATCTGAGCGGGCAGTTCTAGATACGCTTGAGCACTCCTGGCGACATATTCACTGGCCTTGCCCCTGAATATTCACCAGCTACATCAGTCTGACTCACCAGCCTCCCCTCTCTGCTAGGCCTTTCCTCTCTCTGTATCTTCTTCTTCTCTAATCCCTTTCTTTTTCTTCACCCCTATCTCCTTCACAACTCCTCCATGATTTTCTCAGGGCTGGGCTTCAACATCGTCGGTGGGACAGATCAGCAGTATGTCTCCAACGACAGTGGCATCTACGTCAGCCGCATCAAAGAGAATGGGGCTGCGGCCCTGGATGGGCGGCTCCAGGAGGGTGATAAGATCCTTTCGGTGAGAACTGGCTTCGGCCTCCTTCACTGTCCCTTGTTCCCTAGACCCCACTTCCTACTCCTAACCCCTTCCTTGGGAAGATTCCTGCCTGCCTTTTGGGATCAGAAAATATCCAATTGGTAGAGTTCAATACGAGGGACCTTGATCGGTCATCTTTTCCAGACTTATCATAGAATATGGAGTATATTAACTTGCTTGATAGACAAAGCAAAAAGTAAGTCCAGAATGTAAAGTTTCTTACCCAAGTTTTAAAAACATGAAATAGGGAGAGTTGAGGGACTGGTTGGTAGAGGGAGATAATTAAAATCCACAGTGTTGGTTGTTCTTCCATTGTACTTTGTCACTTCCTCCTTGTAGGTTAAAAAATTAATATGTCTCCCTTTATACCACAAGCGGCAAAAAAGTGAAGGTAGGAATTAAGTGTTCTTTTTAGACTCAGAGTTCCTTTTCACCCATTATTATGATAAAAAATTGGAATGCTATCTGATTTAGATATCTGTCCACTGTGCTTGCTCCCATTTCAACTCTCTTAACATCTGTAGTAAAGACCCTTACTGCATAGTAACCATTAATTTTATTGTTTTCTAGAAGTTCCTCAAGTCAGGGACCAGATCTTTTTTTAACCTTTTACATTCTAGCACAGTGTTAAATATGTATCTAACAAATAAAACAAGTTAGTAAATTCAGGCAAACCCAGCAAGCTTAGCTGATCAGAATATTAATAAAGTATCATGAATGGTAATTTCCCATTTTAGTCCTTCTCACTGACCATTTTGCCTCTTTAGTCCATTAAGCTTCTAGACCCTATTAATTAATCTGTTGAGATAGAGACAATGATAATCTACCTTTTATCTCAAAGGATATTGAGAAGTTAAGAAGCAGATTATATCCTACTGCTCCAAGAAGAAAGTCATTCTGAAAATAGGAAATCAACTTGAGTGGTACATAAAGGAAAACTTGAGAGTGGGTTAAAATAAAAGTTAAAGCATGTAGTTAGAAATTATGCGGTCCAATATTTTGACATAAGAGGGATTTGAGAAGTATAGGGGTTAAGAAGAAAGCCTTATTTGAAAAGCTTGGGTTAAAGGCCTATTGAAAAATTAGAATGGTTCGCAGTGTTTGAGCACTATATGCTAAGCAATATGCTGAGAACTTTAAACTTATTTAATATTGTAGTAACCCTGTGAGGTGGGTACAATTATTGTGCCTATTTTGCAGCTAAGAAAGTTGAGGCTTGGTAAGGTCAAGCAGCTTGCCCAGGGTCACACAAGTAGTAAGTGGCAGAGGACTAAAATCAGGTCTGTGAATGTGGAGCCTGTACTCTTAGCCAGTGTACTATACTGCCTCCTAACAGGTAAATAAGGAGCGAGGACTAGTTATCCTAAACAGAAAGTTGCATGGTGAATTAATAGTAGATTTTAGGTATGGTTTTATATAAAAACTGAAATTAGCCTTTTTATAAAGGGATAAAATTGGATGGGGGGGGGACATAAACCTCAATGTGAGAGAATTTATTAGACATAAGCTGAGACGATGAGCCTTTTTTGTATGGGCCATTGCCTCAAAGAGGAAGAAATTGGAAGGCCACTCAAGTTTTTAAAAAGGGTAGGAGATAAATGTCATGAGAAAAGTAGATGTCTAAATAACTTAGCTCACTCGACTTTAAAATTTATAGCAAAGAGGATTTCACTTTATCAAAATACAAGAACTATTACAAAAATCTATACAAGATAGTAAATATTACAAATATATATAAAACACAGCACAAAGAATGATTCACGCTTAGGTTCTGTCCAGTTGAGGAAAAGACATGTGAAAGGAGAGGAATATGCAGTCAGAGATGGAGAGAGATACAAAAGACAGAGAAAGAGGAAACAGTGGAGCCTGTATAGGTGGGAAAGGCCAGCTGTCCTCTCCATTCTGTCTAGGTTTACGTTCTCTGGCCAGTTTCCCTTCCCAGAGTTTGCTCCCAAATTCCTCTAGATCCCATTCCTTAAGAATTAGTGACTTTCTTGTCTCACCATCCTGTTCCCTCTATATCCTAAAGTGAACTAGTTATCCATTAATCCTTAAACAGTTACATCTGTGCATTAGCTCACTTTATCCCTTTGATGTACTTAAGTACTTATTTATTATTGGCTTTGGAGTCTCCATAAAATGATGCTAAATTGTTTATTAGTCTATATTCCCATTTATTCTGTATGGGCTTTTCTGTTCTCCTCACATGGGTCCATGTTGTAAAATATGCCCCAACTCTTTCTTGTAACGTTCGCCAGATAATAAAACGAAGAATATGCCCTTTCCTGAGCACATATCCATTTTAGATAACTACCAGCAGTATCATTAAGTGATCTAGATTTCTTGTGAATATTATTGACTATTAATTTAATCTTTGCATTTCTCCCTAAATACCCATGTTTTGTCTTACTTTCAAGTTCCTAAATTAAATAACTGCATAATTCATTTTGCAGTTTCCCTTTTTCATCAAAAGTGGAATTTATTTTTTTGTGTGGTCACTGTGGATGATTTAAACTTAAAAGAAAGAAAAACTTTAATGGATGTAAATCATATTTAAGATGGAAGGCCCCATTACATCCAATAGCCATGAAACAAAAGCAGGTATTTTCAATAGAAGAACAGACCTGAAGCTGAGCTAAGGACTGGAGATTCATCACCCAAAGTTCACTTTTTTTGTGTGTGATGGTAAAGATGGTTTAATATCTGTACAGGTTACCAGAGGATCTGGGGAAATTTTATTTTTGTGGGGGGAGGGAGGGAAAGGAATCTGTTTAGGTTTCTCATTTCTCCCATGTGGCTGCCTAAATGAAGGGAGGTGGGTAGTCAAGAATAGTCAATCCTCAGTGAACTCTGCATTTTTATAAAGCCCAGGGTGACATAGCTGGTTATTATAATGCACAGATGAATGTTTCATTTTGACCAAATCTCTTAGATAACAAAAATGACACAGATTGGGCCATTAATCAGCTGCATTTCATATTCTCTTCAAGTACACTTATTAATTTGGTGAATGAAAGAGTTGAGTAGTCATTAACATTTATCAACTATTGTACTTGGCCTGCAGAGCACTGTGCCAGGTGCTATGGAAAATTAAAAGAAAAAATGAGAGTCTTGTTTCTGGCCCTTATCTAGAAATCAATAGGAAAGACCCAGCAGGAGTCCTCATCCAATCAGCTGCAGAGACATTGAAATATACAGAATCCTTTAGACAAAGTACCTCTCCAGAAGGTACTTTGTCTTCCCATTTCTGTGTCCCCAGCTCGTAGGTCTATAGCTGGCACAGAGTAAGCATCTAGTAAGCTAGTTGCTCTGTGAATGAATTATAGCATGATTGACATTTTTGGTTGGTCCTGATTAATTGGAACTGGATAATTTCCCCCCCTCCAACTTTGATTAAAAAAAAAAAAAAGAGACATCCCCTCCCCCCAATTGCAGTTCATTTCAGGATCTTGGTTAAACATTTAAATATCCAAAGTGTAATCTGAGGCCAGTGCTTATTAAATTGAGCCCATTTTTTTCTACATCTTCTATATACACATTTATATTATCCTGTAGAGTTCCTGTAACTAACATCCTGAGATAATGTTAGATCATCCTGAGGCAGTTCAAAATTATTACTCATCAAAGAAAACTAATTTTAACTCATTTTATTCATTTCCTAAGTTTCCAGGAAATAGGAAACTCATTTTTAAAGACTGCTAACAACCATAGTTAAAGCAAAAATTTTTATGTTTTCCCATCAGAACACCTAGAACACCACTGTCCCAATTCTCTGAACATTTAGTAAAATGTTCTAGCATATTATAAATCTGCCATATCTCAGGTTCAATAAAACTTCCTATGCCATGAATTCTGGAAGCTGAAGTAGCAAGTTTAGCAGTATTCTAAGATTTCTCATTTGAATAGCTCTTGGTACTAGAAGTGAGGTCCAAGACTATCTGGCCATCACATGGAAACCTGTTAGAAATGCAGAGCCTCAAGAACCTTCCCTGGCCAGCATTATAACGAGATCCCTGGGTGAGAGTGAATAAAGTAGGAGAAGCACTACTCTAGGCAAATGTCTTTCAAACCTTTTCAGTTATCAACTGTAATAGGAAGTATACGTGTGTATGTGCGCATAAACACACACATACACAGTTGAAGCAAAGTTTAACAAAATAATTCTGTATGTGATGATTTCTGATATATTGTGTTTTCTTCTAATTTTACTTTCAAAAAATTCAATACTGGTCTTGACCTACTGGATTGCCTTCACTATCATCTGTAATAGGTCAACAGACCCATATGTTAAAAAAAAATCACTACTCCAGTAAATGGAAATCCACTGATGAAATCTGTGGATGCATAGAGTATATATTAAGATACATATCTAGAGTCAGTAGACTGGGTATGGAAACCAGTTAGAAGACAATTTCAGACAGTTTAGGTTAGAGCTAACTTAAATTTCAGGATCAAGTGGAGGTCTTGGTTAAAGCATAGAATATAGGATAGGGCCTAATAATTTCCACGTTAAACAAGTTCCCAGAGTAATGCTAATGCTGCTGATTCTGGGACCAACTGAGATCCTCTGTTCTATATGAGTAAAGATGATGATTTTTTTAAAAAGATGTCACATATATTTAGGGGTAAAGCTTACAGAACTCAGTGGTTAATCAATAATGAGCTGGAATCTGTAAAAACGCTTAGAGGAGCTAAATATTAGAAATCAAATTTGTCTTGGAGTAGAAATGACATTGTCAAGAGAGAAAGAATCATAATTTGTTTTATAGGGCTGGTTTACCTTGGGCAAAGGATGAAAAATGGTTCTTTAAAAAAGAAATTCCCTTTGCATTTCTAAAAGGCCTCTTGTTTGGAGTTTCATTTGCTTACTTTTTTAAGCAGTTATAGAGTAAAAGTCCTTTTATATTAGAATACCTTTAGGCTTAAATAGGAGGGTCAAAAGGCATAATTAGCATACTGTGTCTGTACCCTGTATAGCACCTTCTTTTGCCTGATGTCACCAATACCTTTCTTCCCTATTAGCAGAAGGAGGCTCAGCAGAGGACCAAGATTACATACACATTGAGTCATCGGTGGGTAAAGCTGCTAATAGAGCACAGGCTTTTCAGCTTTGTGTCATATTGAGAATAAGTCCGTCAGACTTCGTGTAGTTATTTATGGCTGTTTGCAGGGAGTGCTCTGCAACCAACCCTCAGAAAACCATGTGACATTTTTTGTACTCAAGTGTTATTCAACGCACTATTTAGGTATTATAGGGGTAATAATGATAAGTTGCGATACAGGCTCTCCAAGATGTTTACAGTAGTACATAAAGGGATTATGATATAAGGCAGAATTTAGTTTGACTTTATGATGGTTACATATTACGGAGATTCAAAGTAGCAAATCAGTCACATCTAGAAAGGCCTTGTCAGTGACGCAGTAGTTAACTAAATTGCTTTTTAAATTTTAACGCTACTTCAATATATAAACACCTTATATTTTTATACAACTCTGAATTTTTTCTGTGTGTTACGTACAGGGTCTCTTCCCAAAAATGTATATACACTTTAACAGCTGATAGCTCAATTTTGAAAGTGAAATGTATTTTAATAAACACCGCCTTTATAATTATCCAAAGTGTGTGCATACATTTTTGGGGGACAACCTATATTAGATACAAATGAAACTGCAAAATCAAAAAAATTCAATTTACAGCATGAATGTGATGAATGGTGATTTGTTACTGAAATAAAATTCTTGCTTACAGTGTAACTTTCTATAGTGTTTTAAAGTGAAGGTTTTGGGGCCAGGCAGCTTGAGTTTGAATCCTGGCTTTGCTGCTCCCATTATAGATGCCATGCACAAGCTGCATAGCCTCTCTAGTTTTATCAGTAACATGCGGGTTCCTAACTTACGGGACTGTTGTGAAACTGAGTAAGTTTGTACATGTAAAATGACTGGACAGCTCCAGAGATGATAAATATGCAGTGGGTCCTGGCAATTATTACTGACTAGCATGGCAAAGATTATTTTGAACTCACTGTTCGTTTTTTATCCTCATCTGAAGATATGTTTTTATTGATTTTTTTTAGAGAGAGAGAGAGAAACATCGATGTTGGAGAGAAACATCCATCGATTGCCTCCCATATGCGCCTCAACTGGGTATTGAATCCGCAACCTAGGTATGTGCCCTGACCAGGAATTGAACCTGCAAGCTTTTGGTGTTGAAGGCAACGCTCCAACTAACTGAGCCACCCAGCCAGGGATGAACTCTGTGTTCTTGCCATTGAATGTCATATCGTTCTCTCATTTGCAGTCATATTACTATGAAATTGGGCTCTGATACTGAACTATGACATCTGGCATTTGTTAACATGACTATATCATTAACTTATTTGTCTCTGAGAGGAAATAAATACCTATTTCTTTAAATGAGAAATACAGTTATCACAGGCTAAATTAGTTAAGTGAGTATTCTCACTACAATCAATAGTCTTTCCCCAGGAATTAACTAAAAAAAAATTAAGTCATTGAGACTCTGGAAGTTTTTCCCTGTGGCATATGTTAAAAAAAGATATGATCAGAATATGGTTTAGTAGCATGAAATCAAAGTCCATCAATTAGAAAAGCTTATATTCATTTCTACACTATGGGTACCAGGACTGATCCTATTTAAGCTCAATCTTAGAAAATAAGTAGAATTTTTTAAGAGGAAAGGGTATTTAGGTAGTAGATATAGCTTAAGTGCAGGTATGAAAGTAAGAATATATGTTTTTTTTGTCTCAGAGTAATGAGTTATGTGATTTAGCTAGAGCCTAGGATACGTGATAGGGAGTAATGCGAGATTAAATTGGGAAAGTAGGTTCCAAAGGTAGGACTTTGCATATCAGAATGAGAAATCAGGCATGCACGCTGTCCTCCCCTGCTTCAACTTCTGTTTTTGTTTTTGAGCCATAAAGTAGTATAAACAGGATTATACTTTAGAAAGATTGGTCTGGGGACATAGTGTTTGAATAGGGTAGTACAGGGGAGGACCTAGAGGAAAATAAATCAGAGAGAAGGTGATTACAGTAGTTCAACTAAAAGTATCCACAGTCTAAAGAGAGAGGTACCAGACAGAAAATAATAGCATATGAGGAATGTCATTATGTTAAACTACAGGATTTGCCAATATATTGTATGTGAAGATTGACAGAGTGGAAAGAGTTTAAAACTATTATGAAAAATTTAGTCTGAAAGGATGGTAGTGGCAATAAAAGAAAGTTGGGATAGTCCGGTTTTATGGGAAATAGTAAAGAGGCTTTGGAGATGTTGAGTGGGGTCTAACAGAATATCCATATGCAGGTAGCCAGCAGGAAATAGGTAAATCCAGAAGTAGAAGTAGGGATACAATTTTTTTTAAATATATTTTTTTATTGATTTCAGAGAGGAAGGGAGAGGGAGAGAGAGAAACATCAATGATGAGAGAGAATCATTGCTTGGCTGCTTCCTGCACGCCCCCTGCTGGGGATCGAGCCCACAACCTGGGCATGTGCCCTTCACTGGAATTGAACCTGGGACCCTTCAGTCTGCAGGCTGATGCTCTATCCACTGAGCCAAACCAGCCAGGGCGGGATACAAATTTTGGAGTGGTCTGCAGATTATAGTTGAAATTGTGAATAATCACATGGGAGAAAAAAATAAGAGGACAAAAGACAACTGACATTGAGGAATATTTACTTGCCTTAAGAAGGAAAGAAGGAGAAAGGAATTAGGAAAGGAACAGTTTAAGAACTAAAACAGGAGAGAACTGCAAAACAGAGGAGGCGGTCTCAAGGTTGAAAAGGGGCTGTAAGATTTGGTGATTGGAATTCACTGCCCAGTGTTGAAGTCCAAGGCTTATGGCACTTGGTGACTAATATGTAATAGAGCTAGAAACTATTAATTCGGGAAGGCCAAGCTGTTGGTAGATGAATTCACCAAGGATATCGGCAGGAGATAGAGTGGAAGGACTATTCTGAACCTCTGGAGAAGGAACACTGTGACAAGGAAGGTGAGAGATTTGAATAAGTCAATGACCTGAGCTTCAGCTGAGCAGAGAATAGTTGGTGAGTCAGAGCAGAGGAATAGTGCAGAAGGAGCAGTAAAATGCAGGGTACTTCAGTCTTCTGGTATTTAAACACACTAGCCCTGGCTTCCGCACTTACTATGCCTTTGGGTACATTCCCTAGCCTTGCTAGGCTTCCGTCCCTTCAACTGTGAAAAACAAGATAAAAATAGTGTCTACCTCATAGGATTATTGTGAGAATTAAATTAGATAATTCATAATGTAAAGCATATAGCACAGAGCCTAGCAAGTAAATATATTAGGTATTTTTGCTGCTGCTGCTGTTGATGACACTAACATGTACAAAAGATATGTAGTTCTTGCATAAGGTAGGCTATGCTGTGTCACTGAGTGCAGCATGGATAGATATCACTGTGGCCAGAGTCACTCCTGACACTGAAAGTAGTAATACCAGTAGCACTGCAAATCTCTCACCCCTAAGTGGTAGGACTGACCTACCGTGAAACATTCTTTAGGAGTTTGGATCATCACAGAAACTTGAGGATAGGAGTATCAATGGAATTAAGGGCAATTGTTCACAGTAGAACAAGACCAATAGAATGGGCCAGGAGATTTTGTACCACATCAAAATAAATTGTGGGAGAGTTTTATGTAATTATATTTCTAGAGATGAAGCTGGCAATGCCAGGGATTAGAAATAAACCTGGAAGACCATGCTAGCTGTAGGAAGTCAGACTGATGCTCATGGAAGACATGCAAATACAGTAAAAAATTCCAGGTGTCCAAATGAGATAGGCCATAGGAGCTAAGGAGAAAGAGACTGCCTTTTTAAAAAATATTTATTTTTTTAACATTTTTATTTATTGATTTCAGAGAAGAGGAGAGAGAGAGAGAGAGAGAGAGAGAGAGAGACATCAATGATGAGAGGGAATTATTGATTGGCTGCCTCCTGCATGCCCCCTACTGGGGATCGAGCCCACAACCTGGGTGTATGGCCTAACCAGGAATTGAATTGTGACCACCTGGTTCACAGGTTCACGCTCAACCACTGAGCCATGCCAGCCAGGCCGAGACTACCGTTTTTTGTTCTTTTTAATTTCAACTTAAGTGCTCTTCAAATGGTCCATGGAACTCAGTTTTAGGAAAATGTAGCTTTGAAAATGAAGTGTTACACTGAGTTCTAAGTGACGTTATTCATTCTCCTAAACCTTGGAATTTGCTCTGTAGGAGTTGTTTTTTAAATGTTTGATCACATGAAAGTAAATCTTTGACTTCAGAGAGTTTACATTCTAACTCTTACTACTTTTTCTTGCTGTTTTCGACAGGTAAATGGCCAAGACCTAAAGAACCTGCTGCACCAGGATGCTGTAAACCTCTTTCGTAATGCAGGCTACGCTGTATCCCTAAGAGTACAGCACAGGGTAGGTGTTGTGTCCTTTGCGGGCAGCACCTGGCCCCAGGCTTTTGTGCCATTGTGAGTGAGCCCTGTGGTGTAACCTTCAATGGTGTGTTTGGATTTTTTTCCTTTCACTCCCACTCTTTTGAAGAGCTTGTCTAGCAGGTGTCTTCTGGAACTCTGCTTATCATCAAAGGACATTTGTAACAGTATTTTTGCAACCCAGGTCCTAGTTTTAAAGATAAGGCTTGACAACCAAATTGAAATAAATGGCGTGGGGTTGGGGGTATACAACCACAGTCAATTTTTTTAGTGGGGAAGTAAAACATGTGTCTGCCGTTGGACATTCTTGTTTATAAAACTCTAAGTACAAAGATGGTAGGTTTTCTGATACCTACTCACTGTCACCTCCATGAACACTTTGCTTATCAACGTGGTGACTCTTCTGACCAAAGCTCTGGTGCTCAAAGTCGAACTCCAGGAAAACGGAAATGGAATTCAGAATTCAGTCAAGACAGCACCTATCCCTGTATCCACTTCTTAGTTCCTAGTGTCTTACAATGTGGATGATGGGAAGAGAAGCCTGTAGACAAAATTCCTCCCATAGCAACGATTTTGGGGGCATATGCAACACAGTTTCAATGTGTCTTTAAAGGTATTCTCTCTTAAACTGATGCTTGGATATGATTTCTTTTCACTTCGTTACCTCTGATTCTGTTTGCCTCCATTCCATACAGGTTCCACCTTTATCTGTGTCCAGTGTTACAAAATAGGGGAGGAAGGACACAACCTCATCTTAGGAGGGAGTGGGGTGCCTTTTGAGTTGAAAATAATGGAATTACACCTTGTGCAATTTATGCTTAGATAACAGATAATTTAAATAACATTGCTCAGCTCTGCTCTTATTGCACTCTAATGACTGATAATCTTTCTAAGTAAACATTCTAGGAAGATGGACATCCCCCCTGTCCCACCCAATAATTTTCAGGTTTCCTACAGGATCAGTAGACTTCATCTCTTACCTTCATTTCCTGAGATGAGACACATAGAGCTTGGTGGAGGCCGTACAAAAGCAGAAAGAGGTTATCTGGCTTATTTCCGGGGGTCCCTGTAGGTCAGTAGCACAGACAAGGCAGATGTCTCCCCATCAGCCTTTTGTTTCCACAGAGTCGGTGATACTGACATAGACTCTCTGCTAGACAGCGCTTAGACTTGCAGCTTTGACAGACCCAGGACATGTGTCAGCCTGGACCTTTCAGTTGTGGGAAACACACTGGTCACCAGAGTTAACATTTTTCTTTCCCTTCCAGTTACAGGTGCAAAATGGGCCCCTCGGACATCGAGGCGAAGGGGAGCCGAGCGGCATTCCCATGCCTGTGGTGCTGGTGCCACTGTTTGCCCTCACCATGGTGGCAGCCTGGGCCTTCATGCGATACCGGCAACAACTTTGAACAGCTCGCTTCCTTCCAGAGCTCCTGATGAAGAGAACATTTCTTCCTTTCTCTCCTCCTCCTCCTCCCCTGCCATTCTCCCGTCTCTTGCCCTCTCTCTGCATAGCTCACACATGATTTAAAGAGACTGCTTCCCAACCAGAACCTGGCTCTTCAAAATCTTCAAGTCCTCGTATTCTGATGGGAGAGTAGAGGCATTGTTTGAAGGAAAGCTGAAGAAAGACTTGCTTAGGACAAATGAGGAGTCATATGTTTTACTAGGACCGCCAATAGAATCAGCTACAACCAAAGAGGGAAAAGTCCAGTCTTGCCGCACCATGGTGATACCTGTTTTCTTAGCTGGCTTGCCTCAGAGGCCAGCTGTGCGATATAAGAGGAAGAGAGGATTTTTCTTTCTAATGATCTTCCTTGGGAAATTTTTTGGCCTTTATTTACTTTCTAATGACATACTTGGGTGCCTATATCAAACAAAATACAATGAGGAGACCATTTTTACTTTTTAGAAGATATATATATATATATATATATATATGTATATGTATATATATATACACACATATGTGTATATATACATATACATATATATATTTACACATGTATACACATATGTGCATAAATGATAGTATAATAGTGAAGCCTTATGGAGAGTTAAAGAGGTAGAAACCTGCTCTGGTTTCTAGATTTCTGGTGGAAGGGGTGATCTTAATTGCGGGAGTAAGAGAGTGAACCTGACAGGATGCCCAGTTTGAGTCATAAGAAAAAGGAAGGAAAACTGAAGCAACTAGTTTAAAATCTTAGAATTCTTATTTCTCATAACATTTAAGGTGAAGTTGAGGCAAAATGCCATAATCCAGCTTAGCGCAAGTCAATCTGTCGGAAAACCTTTGAGGTTTAGAGATAAATCTTACCAATCTCCGGCCTACTTAGTGACTTTTTGGATACCTCACAGCCTGTGAAAGGATCAGCTGGAATGATTGTGGTCAGAGCTGTAGTGACAGGACAAAACAACCCAGTGAAAACTCCACAAAGGAAAAAGATGGTGCCTCCAAGGTGGTGCCTGAATCCCCCAGACTGCCAACACGTCCCCCAGGGCTAGTAACAGGCAAACTCTGAGTGAGGGAACTGCTCTTGGTCGGGTGGGCATGAAACCAGTTTTGCTTCTGATTCAGTTCCGTTTAGAGAGTTTGGATTGCTAGTTTGTAATTATTATTATTTATTTTTTTTTGAAGAAAAAAAAACACCCATGAAACACTGGTTATGGTTTTAATGAATGAACCAGTTTGCAGGGAAGGGGAAGAAAAGAGTTGTGTTTGTTTTAGGGGGGAGGGGACTTTCATAGGGAAACCTTGAGAGCAAGATGCAGGTGAATGGATGCTGGGGAATACTGAGGTTAATAATGAGGTGGGAACCGTCCTGTGGAAGTGGTATTGAAGAGTGGTTTTAAAGCATTAAGGAGAGCTGAACCAAGACTAATTTTCTGGCTTTAAGAAAAACATTTCCATCTTTCAAACATATCCGCTAGACTGTAGGCCTTATACATACAATCTTGACAACAAGAATGTGAGGACTTCCCCTTGGGCAATCAGTTATGTCTATTTTTTGGCATAGATGATCTAACAAGTATTTTACAAATGTTGATTGGACATCAGCTTTGTTAAGACACTTTTACAAAGAAAGAAAATACATATTGCCTCCATCCTAACGGTTTTTTTTGTTCCAGTTGGGAACTAAACCTATATACATAAAAAGGGAATTTGCATAGTCAGGGCAATGTAAGTTTGGTGTCAGATGTACAGTGCAGACAGCAAGAGGGAACAGAACTGAGCCACCATCACTGAGAACGTTCCGTGGAGGAAGGGGACAAGCTAAGGACCCTTGAGGAGCTCACAGTCTAGTTACCAGGTTAAGTAACAGTTGAACACAATAATAAAAGAAATGGTACTCGGCACAACGCAATGCAGCCATCACACTTTTTTAAGGTATTCAGAAAAAGAAAGCCATTGCATAATGACATGAGGCCAGAGTGGAAAGGGAAGGCTTTTAAAAATAAAAATCCCAGTAAGACCTTGCCTCCAGGTCAACTGTTCCTGTAGGGGACAAACTCGCTTTAAACAATCCTGATGTGACTTACGCCTTTAAACCTTAACTGGTCACCTAGACGCTTGGCATTTGTACATTCCTCAGAGAAACACTGACAGTATTCCAGTTCTCACCCCAAACCGCCCACTGTGGGGGCTCAGCCTCGGGGTCCTCCTTGTACCTGGAGTGTGTGTAGCCGTTTCACTTCTGTAGGGGCCTGCTGGCCTCCCAGGGTTCACCTCAGGGTGTGCACATGAACTCGTGGGAGGACCTGAGACACACATACCAAACGAAGCAAAGGGGCAAGCAGGAAGGAAAGCTCTTTTTTTTATTTGTTGGTATATATGAATAAAGAGAACACCTATCCCACTGCTGGTAGAAGTTTAGTTTTGGTTGATAATAGGGATTCTGATGCATTTTAATAATTTTGGCTTTCCCTGGATTTAAATAGCATTTAAAGATCAATATACTGACATTTTAGGCAGGTGTGCTATACTTTTATTTCATTCTCACAGTGGTTCTCAACCTTCTGGCCCTTTAAATACAGTTCCTCATGTTGTGACCCAACCATAAAATTATTTTCATTGCTACTTCATAACTATAATGTTGCTACTGTTATGAATTATAATGTAAATATCTGATATGCAGGATGGTCTTAGGTGACCCCTGTGAAAGGGTCGTTCGACCGCCAAAGGGGTCGCGACCCACAGGTTGAGAACCACTACATTACATTATCATAGATGTCAGAATCCATTGTAGATCTTTTAAAAAAAATCCATGCTCTTTATGAATTGAATTGAATATTCCTGCCACCTTATAGATTGTATCATTCCTACCTGAACTACTGTTTTCAAAGTTTTAAAGAAGTATTTTTAAGACCATGTACTTAGAACACTTCTCTATATCATCCTATCTTATACATATAATCCTAATAAGACATTGTTTCCTTCAATCATCTATTTCCTTTTCCTGCCAAGTTTTAATCTGTGCTATTAATTAATCACACCTTCTAGTCATGCGTAATGAAAAGGGAGATTTAATATTTGTTACTGCATTTGTGCCAGGTACTGTACTAAACCCTGATAGGTAACACTAATTGTTCATGCCTCACAACTCTGGGATCTAAGTATTATTATAAAGACACTAAAGAAAAGAGAGTAAAATTACTTTCCTAAGATTGCATAGGTGGTAATAACAGAATTAAGATTTAAACTCATGTCTTCAGGTGCCATCATCAGTGATATTTCTTCACTGGTAGTGGCTCTCAAACAGGTTTGGTTAAAAGCATCACCATCACCCGAGAATTTGCTAGAAAAGCAAATTTTTGGGCTTAACCCAGACCTATTGACTCAGAAACAGTAGGGCACCCAGCAATCTGTAATAATACCTCCAGGTGACGGATTTAGCTGAAGTTTAAGAATCACTTCTGAATGCCAATAATTGTACCCATTTTCTCAGGTTAGAATTACCTGGAGAGCTTATAAGAATTCCGATGCCCGGGTTGTATCTAGGCCAATTCAATAGAATCTCTGGGTATGGAAGTCAGGCACCATAAAATAAAGTTTACCAGGTGATTCTAGTTGCAGTGTCAGTAAAAAAAACAAAAACAAAATAACAAAAAACCCCACAAAACAAAAACTCGATGGCATTTAAACCTAGACACCATTTAAGTTACATACAGACATGGCTCCAGCCAAAAATGAGAATTTCACTTGGGCCTTTTTATTTTCTTAAAATAGAAGCTTATATTGCAACTTTTCCTCTACTTTTATTTAAAAAATATGTTTTTATTGATTTTTAGAGAAAGGGAGAGAGAGAAAGAGAAATATCAGTGATGAGAATCATGACTGCCTCTTCTAGGGATCGAGGCCACAACCCGTGCATGTGCCCCGACTAGAAATCAAACTGGTGACCTCTTCATTCCTGAGTCAACACACAACTGCTAAGCCACGCTGGCCGGGCTACTTGGGCCTTTTTAGAGCCCAGCTCTCCGTGAGCTTCTGCCCAAAGTATAGATGTGGAATAAGAAGTGCAACATTCTTTGGCTTCTGACTTGCTAATGACTGATCAACCTCCAGCAAAATGTAGTGTTTCAGGTTGTGCATCTGTTAAATCAGAACCAGACTAGAACACGAGCAGAAGGAACCAGAAAGATTCTAGGATGTATTTGACTCAGAGATGAGAACCTCAAGGCTCAGGGAGGTGAGCTAACTTAACCCAGATCATACACTTGCTTTGTTGCATAAGTGCTCTTTCCGTCTCATCTTTGTCTTGAATGTATCCACTACATGAACATATACAAAACTCCTTTGTTTTTAAAAAAAAATCCCAATCCACTTCCATCTTCTCTCTGGGTCTTAAATAAAAACCAAAGGAACTGACTGACTACACATGTGTGTTGCAAGCTTCATGCATAATTGGGAGATGCCACAGAATAATCTGAGAAAGACCTAACATCAAATTCAATTAAATGAGCTCTTCTGAGACTAGTTCCAATAGGCTAGAGAAGTGTGTTTTTTTGACATAGGACATCGTTTTTATTGTGTAAATAGCAAGTTAAGATACAATTTCATGTGGAGCCAATAAAGATCTTATTCTAGTCAAATCTAATCAGACTTATCTTTGTATAGATGAGGATTTTCTTTTCCTTCAGCAAATGAGTGGGTGCTGGGTGCTGAAGACACAAGCTAAAATTTCACTATTGGAAAGTGGTGGAGTATTTATTGGTGATGTTGGTGTTAAATTATTTTTCTAACATCACTGAGAAGCAGAGAATATATTGAATTATGATACTCTTTATCTCTCAGCTATAAATTGAACAGTGATTATGATCTTGGGTAAGCCCCTTTTGCTGTTTCTCTTTTATCTGCAAATCTGAGAGACCAGTATTTACATTTAAAAGGGTAATTGTGATCAAAAGGGAGCCAGTATTTTAAGGAATTCTGTTCTGATTGGAACCAGGTTCTTAACTGCCATAAACTCTTGCCTGATGTTGATATTTATATTTGGGCTACAAAGCACCTAATCTCTTACCTGATGCACTTGATAAATAACATAAGAATGCATTGCTGTGCCTAAGGAATCAAGTTATACCAAACATCAGGTCTTGTTTCTCTAAATGTTGTCCTTACTGTTGATGTTCTTTTTGCTGAGTGAAAAGGGAGAGGACTGGATAATGTTTTCAGATGCAAATCGATCATTAACAGAGTCATGTACAAAAGAACTCTGTAGTTACTGTAATTATTAAATGTATTGACCAATCAGGAAAATTGAATAATCCTTAGTTTGCAGATTGGCAAATGGAATCACAATTCCATTTTAATTCTGTATCTGCAATGCTGATTTGAATATGAAATTCTCATTACTGGATATTTGTGCATTTTACCCCTGGACCATATTAGTTCTTATAAGATTATTTTCCTTATGAACCTTATTTTATTTTGCTTCCTTTCTACTTTGATCCTAGTGTCACATTGCATGCCTGGATCTAAAAGCAAGTAGATGCCCTATAGCATCTTGGGAGATACATGGGCATAAAACTACTTCTAGGAAATATAATTACACATTAAATATGTTAGTGAGGCCATCAAATGGGTGATAATTTCCTAAGCTTTGCTATTTGATACCAGATAGAACAAATGAGATCCTAGTGTATCTAACTGTGCCTCACTCAGTACTGGCATCTAATAAAAACTTGTTACATTTGTCAGTGATCTTTATAATTTTTCCACCTTATTTTGAAGATTATTGAATTTTTTTTCTTTTTGCCAACTTCTTAAGAGTAGTGTGCCTCTGACAAAACAATGGAAAGAGGGAAGAAAACTCTAAATGATCAATTTGAGGCTTATCTTTGACTAAGGAGATAAGGAGGGGCACTATCATGTACCACTATTAATGGCGAACAATTACTGAGCTCCTTTCAATATTTCAGCTACTGTCCTGAGCATGTGTTCATTTAAGCCTCACAACAACTGTTGTCATTATTCCCGTTTTACAGTGAGATGAGCGAGGCATTGAGAGATTAATTCACCCAAGTTATACAGCTAGATAGAACCTGCATATATAACCATGGCACTGTACTGTCCCTAGTCTCCATGGTGTCAGGTACTACCCTGGGGTGCTCTTTTGCATAACTAAGGTAAAAAAAACATCTCCCCATTATGCAACATAGTATCAGTAATCCCATCTTTACAGATAAGGTAACTCATGGTTTAAAGAGGTTAACTTGCTCTTGAGACATAGCTAGTTAGTTCCAGATCTGGGAATTTACTTAAAGCCAATGAGAAGTTCACTTCTCACCATTTCAGAAAATGAAAATTTAGTTTACTGAATTTGGTACAACCATGCTAGCTCAGTCTTCCATTGTGGATAATAGGTATTTGGCTACACTAGGTACAAAATAGCAGTAGCTGTACCCTTCTGTATTTACATACAACATTTGAAGGCAGTTGCCAACCTTTAGTATCTTACTTCTGGCCCCTTCATCCCCCAAAGCCTTAAAAGATACACAGAGGCAGAAATGGGTTTGTGCCATAGGATGAAAAAGGGTTTGTCAGAACTGAATATTGACTCTGCTTATAGCTGACTTTGATGTGAACAGGAAAGGCAGTTTACACTGGTCATTATGGCTCTGTCACAGCTTAAGCAAAGTGCAGGCCTGGAGTCCAAGTGCTAATCTGTACCTGCTGTGTGTACAGAATGGCCACCTTCTTTCTCCCTGATGGGCGAAGAACATATGTCAGTTTTCAACTATATAACAAGCCACTGCAAAATTAAGTCACTTAAAGCAATATTTTAATAAACTTTTAAAAGATTCTATGGGCTGCCTGAGT